ATTTTCCTTTCTTTTCGGTTTTGTTCTTTTCTTTCCCACATATATCATCAATAAAACCAATTGATGTCTCTAATGACATGGATTTCATCGTTTTGGTTATCTACAAAACGATGCGGTGTTTTGTTCGTCGATGTTCCTCTCCTTATCTGTTGGCCGGTGGTTTTTCTAGTTATTGGATTTTCTGCGATTTTCTATTATCTAGTCCAGGAAATAGAGAGGAGAAAATCCCAGAGGTTTGAGTGGATGGTCGACGTGTTTTTCTCCCTCCGGGAGCGTCTTTCTCCCACAATCAACTACTATTTCATACAGTGGTGGTTCGTCGGCGCTTTTGTCTTGCTATTGGTGCAAGGTAAATCTCATCCTCTTGATATATTTTTCAGAGGATTATTAATGTTTCAGTTCATATACGGGATTTTGAAACCACCACCATGGCCTGATGATTCGTTGGAAAAGATGGAACATCTCATTCCTGCGGAGGCAACAATTCATCTATCATTTAAAAATAATTGGTGTACAACAACCACGAGGATTTCAAAGTCAACCGTTTCAATAACGACTATGATATGGATTATTTGGTATCATGAGGTCAATATTTGGAAACATGTACGGGATGCAATGGCTTTTCACTGTGTGATTTGGAGATTAATCAATGCAGTGCCAGGTTGGCATACTTATCGTATCAGAGTGAGACCAATACTGAAAAAAGAAAATAACAAGTTTCAAAACTTGTTAGCGTGTAAGGCTTATCTCGGAAGAAAGCAGTGTTAGTTTGTTTTTTCTAATTATTTTTCTTCAGCATATGGCGTATATAGCTGCTTATACAATAATTTGTATTTCGATGTTTTGTATTCGACTTTGTAATCACACTTACTTTGGTTGTTAATGAAAGTAATTTAGACGGAAAAAAACTCTTTTGTCCTATAAGTTTATTAGTTATATTTTAAAATCATATTTTAAAATTTAATTTATCATTAATTATGCAAGTGTAGCAGTACTTTTGCTTATACAATAATAGTTATATAATTTATTTGAGATAGAAAAAATAATATACCAAACTATAATGGAGATTAAAGATGTACTTTCTAAAGTAGATAATGCAATTAATATGTTTAGATGTGAAGTGAAAAAAAAAAGACAAAGAAGAAGCCAATTTATGTGAAAATGATGAAGATTTTAGTCTAGAAAATAAGAAAATGAAAAATCAAAAAAAAGTTTCAAGAAAAAAGAAAGGTTAGGAAGAACAAAAAAATACCTAAAGATGTGAAAAAACTAACAATATGAAAAGCTATGAATGAACCATTTTTCTTTGTATTTAGTATTTTTTAAAATTAATTGTACATTTTTGTATAACAATTATTAATATGAAAGGTTATCATTATTATAAAGTTGTGTCTTTTTGTTTATTTTTTTTAATTATACATTCTGTGGAAAACTATGAATGAACGTTGCATCTTTCTATTAAATATATTTTTAACTGTATATATTTTTTATATAACTTCTAGCTATTGTATGGTTATTTCTTTTGGTTTTTGTATTTGTATATGTGTTGTATATTTAGTGAATTTATGATTACATTTTAATAGAAAATGAATGTTGGAGATTTAAGTGTTATGGTTATTTCGATGAACCATTGCACCTATTGAATTTATACTTATATTAGTAGAAATTGCAATACTAGAGATTATGGTCATTTTATCAATCATTGCAACTCTTGAGTTTATAGTTATTTACTAAACATTGTAACTCTTAAAATTAACGTTAATTTACCAATCATTGCATCTTTTGAGTTGATGGTTATTTTGGTGAACCATTGCAACTATTGAGTTATGGTTATTTTACTAGACATTGCAATTCTAGAGATTATGGTCATTTTATCAACCATTACAACTCTTGAGTTTATAATTATCTACTAAATATTACAACTCTTGAAATTAAGATTAGTTTACAAATTATTGCATATTTTGAGTTGATGGTTATTAAACCATTGCAACTGTGAAATTTTTTTTTTTTTTAATATTGAAACATTGCATCTTTTCAAAATAAAAAGACAATTACTTATTGAAGAGGCACATCTTTTCATTAAGAAGATACAAATTTCTAAAATAAGTATTGAGTTTATGGTTATTTTACTAGATATTGCAGTTCTAGAGACTATGGTCATTTTACCAATCATTGCAACTCTTGAGTTTATAGTTATTTACTAAACATTGCAATCTTTGAAATTAAGGTTAATTTACCAACCATTACACCTCTTAAGTTAATTTTTCAATATTGAAGCATTGCATATTTTCAAAATAAAGACATGATTATTATTGAAGATGCACAACTTTTCATTAAGAAGATACAACTTTATATAATATAAGACACAGTTTTTTTTTTCATTTAGAGATGGTAAACATTATTTTATCAAGTATACAATTCACCTGTTAAACGCCATAAAATTAAAGTATCTGCTATAGTTACAAATTTTTCTGAGGAAAAAAAGTTACAAACTTTTCTAATACTATTGGGATAAGATCTACGAGTTCACTATTGTTAAACAAAGAAGGTTTTATTTATTCAATAAAATGATCAAATTTAGTTATTCTGTATTGACTTTCTCATTTCTAAAGATTTACTCTTGTAGGATGTAATTAAAACTTGGCTGATAATGTTTGAATTGTTATTGTGTTATCCTCCATTTAAGGGTGTAAAAATTTGATATAAAATTAATATAATATATTTTTAAAATATTTTGCATGCAGAAAAGTATAAAAAAATTAATGAATACTTAAAATTAAATAGAATTAAAAAGTTTCTCACAACCAACAATCTTCGATTAACAGTATGTCACTTAAATTATATATTTAAAAAAATATTTTTGGAATGTTAATTTATTTATATTAATTAAAAATTTATTTTGAATAGATGGTGATTTCAACCAATATCAAACGATAGCATCCAAAAAAATGTTAGAATAGTAAGTATTTTTGATTACTAGTCATAATATCATAACTGTTTTTTAAATATATTAAAACTAATAATGTTAAAAGTTTAAAAGAAAAGGATGAAGACCACGAAAAAAAGAACCAAATAATAACTTAATGCAATGTCCTGATTGTCATGTTTAGGTTTGGTCATTAGAATGTACCGAAACAGATTCAGTTAGTAAACGACAATTGTTCTCAATTTATTTCAAACAAAGTCGTGTTTTACTCCCTACTGCTCTTGAGCTTCCATCGTTATTAGTTAAACTTTTTAGATGAGCTTTTGTTTTTTCGATATATAAGAGCATATAATTCTATCATAGCTTTTACTTCTATGGGTGCAGAAATTGATTATTCTGTTCAAAATACATATGAGATATATTGTTTCAAGGTCCATGGTAAAAAATATCATCTTATTGGGTCTGTACTACCATGTGATGGTAAGCCACCAAAATTCTCTCAATGTATATTTTTGATATAGCTAACGAGTTAAAAAATCACCTAATATCACACAATTAAGAAATTGTTAAGCCAATATAATATGTCCAATGCTATATAATCTTATAAATTCAAGACAATTTTAGGTTTCCGAAAGATAATGTTGACTTAAAATGTATCAAAACTATTTCTAATAGTTTGAACTTTGAAATCCAAATATTTTCCATATTTTTTATAGATCATGACAAATTTGATTTTTTTTCATACAAGATTTTGTACTAAAATTTTATTCTCTTTGTTTGAAGATTTTAACATTTATACCATATGTTAAAAACTTCTCACTGTAAAAAGATATCTATCAACAATTGAGTCTTATCGATAAAATTGATCATGTTGGTTATAATCATTATTCAACTTCTTCTCAATGTCAATTGTATAATTGTCTTTTATATGAACTAGGTGAATACTCGCACATAACGTGCATATTTTATTTTTTAACTATTTCAAATTTTATACAAAAGCAAACATAATCATTATTTGTTATGTGTATTAGTATGTTATTATAAATAATTTTAGAAATTTTATATACAAAAAAATCTTAGAAATCAATTTTAAATATAATATTATAAATATATAAACAAATAATCATTATTTGTTATGTGTGTTAAGATGGTATTATAAATAATTTTAGAAATTTATATAAAAAAATTTAGAAATCAATATAAAATGCAATATCAAATAAAAAATGTAAATATAATCATTGATTGTATGTGTTAGTATGTTATTATAATTTTTTTTAGAAATTTTACCCAAAAAAATACAATCTTAGAAATCAATTTAAAATGCAATATCATAAAAAATTTGAAAATTATATAAAATAAAGTAAATACCAATCAATATCAATCAATTAATGAAAAAAACAGTTCATTTTCTTTGGGTAGTTTAAAACTTGATAATAAAATTTACTAATTTATTATTTTTGAAAAATTATAACTTTAAATTATAAAAATAACACATATCATCTTCATATCAATTAAAAATGATGATGTGTCATTCATATGGAGAGAGTTGATTATTTTTTATATATAAAATGTAAATTTTGAGTTATACATTGTTACATTAATTTTAAACTATGAACTCAAATATAAATATATGTTAATTGCTTTGTATGATTTCGTTCATTTTTGTATTTTTATATTTTTGAAAGTTATATCCATTTATTTTTTATAATAGTATTATTTTTTTTTCAAAAAATTGAATATTACATCTAAGTATTATTACTTTTTGTTATATGTGTGTTTACTTAAAAATATTTAAAATAATTAAAAGTTAAATATACCTGATTTTCCTTGCGATTTTGCGGGGGCTCGAGACTTAATATATACAGTATACGAATTGATGTATTTATCTAAAAATATGCGACCGAATGTTTTAAAAGACGAAAAATAATAACAATATGGGACATTACATATATAAAATACAATGAAAACGTAAATAAAATTGAATTAATAAAATTTCCTTAAAGAAATGCAATGATATTTGATAAACGATATAAGAGTGAGTCAAAACAAAATGGAGAAGAGGGAAGGAATCGAAAGGAGCGTTGGTTCTTGGAGTCTTTTGCCTTACAAAGGAAAACTCCATTATCATCATCGTCTCTTCTACAGAAAAAATCCTCAAATCGAGATCGCAAAATGGAGAAACCAAACCCTAGACGACCTTCAAACACTGTTCTTCCGTATCAAACTCCTCGATTAAGAGATCACTACCTCCTCGGCAAAAAGCTAGGCCAAGGCCAATTCGGCACAACCTACCTCTGCACCGAGAAATCAGCCTCCGCTAATTACGCCTGCAAACCAATCCCCAAGCGCAAGCTCGTCTGCCGCGAGGATTACGAGGATGTCTGGCGCGAGATTCAGATCATGCATCATCTCTCTGAGCACCCCAATGTTGTTCGGATAAAAGGTACTTACGAGGATTCCGTCTTCGTTCACATCGTTATGGAGGTTTGTGAAGGAGGTGTGCTTTTTGATCGGATTGTGTCGAAGGGTCATTTCAGCGAGCGCGAGGCCGTGAAGCTTATCAAGATGATCCTTGGTGTTGTTGAGGCTTGTCACTCGCTTGGTGTTATGCATAGAGATCTCAAACCTGAGAATTTCTTGTTTGATAGTCCCAAGGAAGATGCGAAGCTTAAGGCTACGGATTTTGGTTTGTCTGTCTTCTACAAGCCAGGTTTGGTTTCGATTAATCCAATCATCCACCCTTATCTTTGGTTAATCTTGGAATCAATCAATGAATGGCTTCAAATTTGTTTGTATCTGTGTGGCTTCTTGATTCATTGTCGATACATGTTTATTTGGTTTCTTGATAGACACAGGTTTGTTTTTTTTTTATCGTCTCTTGAATTGAAGCTCGTTATAAGGGATTTGGGTATGTTTAGAATCGCTGATCTGTTTCGTTGAATCCCTCGAATTATGATGCTTGAGGATTGTTTCTTTTCTTGTATAGATGTTCTTCATTTGAGTCTCTGAAACTTCATGCGTTGATTCGAGTTATTCTGCATTTTATTGCTGGCAAGGGCTTTGGGTATAATTAGCCTTGATGATTTGTTTCATTAAATTCTGATTTTTGCTGCTTGAGCATTGTTTCTTTGTTAAGAAAAACATTGCTTGTATAGATTGAGTCTCTGAAACTTCATGTGTTGTTTGGAACTATTCTGCATTTGTCTGGCCTTGGATCTGTGATTCCCTTACAAGCAGATAGGTAATAGCCAGTGCCGGTTCATCGCCTAATTGTTTTTTTTGTTTGTTCTTCAGGACAATATCTATACGACGTAGTTGGAAGTCCGTACTATGTTGCACCGGAGGTTCTAAAGAAATGTTATGGACCTGAAATAGATGTGTGGAGCGCCGGTGTTATCCTCTACATCTTACTAAGCGGCGTTCCTCCTTTCTGGGCAGGTTAGTCTACAAAAAAGCACAGCCCTTTCTTACTTACAAGTTTCTGGTTTTAGCTTGAATGATGCATCTCTCTATTCTTGGTGCTTGCAGAAACCGAGTCTGGAATCTTTAGACAGATATTGCAAGGGAAGTTAGACTTTAAATCCGATCCGTGGCCTATTATATATAAAAACAAAAGACCACTTGTTGTGACTTATACTCGATCGTGTTACTGTTTTGTTTTCTTGCCGGATTAGTCAAAAGTGAGGACGAATGGCATGAGTCTAGTATTTCTTGAACCGTTTCTTTTTTTTTTTAAGCTCGAATTGATCATTTCTTGAATCGTGTAGTTTAACAGAGAGTTATGTAAAGATCTGTTCAAGAATTGGAGAGAGCTTGATGATTCACTCTTCTCTGTCCAGAGAGTATCTGGAGGCATTACAAATATATGTGAGTTTCACAATACATTTATGTTTCTCTTCCGGAAGGAATTCATCAAGTAATTTCGTTTCCGAGTTCGCAGTAATACATGTCAGTGCCTATCTTCTACCTTGGTTCAATGTTTGGGTTTCAATTGTTTTATTTTCTCACTTTTATGTCATCTTTTCATGATGGCAGTGCTGAATGTTTCTGTGAAGGAAGACACTAATAGAGAAGTGTCTGTAACACTGCGACTGTATGGGCTTAATACGGAGTATGTTATAACTGGTAGAGAGAGCTACAGGTAATTTATTAATAACCTCTCATTTATTTCAATGTACATGAGAAGTCCCTTACCCTTGTGTGCACCGAATCATTTGTTCATGTCTGATCCGAGTTTTGTTGTATTAGTTTTCGTTACCAAGAATTTTCTCTGTTATTTGAATTATCTGTCTACTAGTGATATGGCATGAGCCTTGCAGAGTAACATGGCAGAGTTTTTCTCGATTTTTCTTGAATTATCAAAGGTTTTCTCTGCTAATATGTCCAATTATTCTTTCGCATAACTTGAAATTTTATCTTCTGTCTTTTCTCTTTATTTGTTTCTCACGTCTTCAATAGGCTATCAAGTGTCTCTCGGCTACCGGATTTGGTGCCAAGTTGCTTGGTGGATTCCGAAATGGCATGGTGCTATCATTCATAAATGCACGAACCTCAACCCATCAGGTAGGCATTAAAATTCTTGTAGCGGGATAGGTCTCTTGAAAGTTTCTTAAAAATCATATATATTCTTGTTGTTAACTGGATGACCTGCAAAGTTTCACATGGTTAACTTCACATGGCTAACAAATTCAAATGAAAGTTTGACAGTTAAAAACAAAACAGATTGATAACCTGCAATCCCTAATTCGGTTTATCTTGTGTAAAATACTTGTATAGTATGAATTAAACTGAAGGAAGTTGGTAATATTTGTCAATGCTCCTCATTAACATCGGTGAAACATCTCTATAAAATGTGGACGTTCCAGTCTCATGTTTCATCTGCTTACACAAGTGCTACTCAGTAGTATTCAGTGTCATGGACTTCAAATGAATCTCATTTCTCTTCTCTCATGGGCAGACATGAGACAGCCAAAGGTTGCTGCTGAAATTGACAAAGAGCTTGGAAAGTTTCATGAAGTGGAGATACCGGATTCCAAAGAACCTTTACTTGCAGTCTCTACTCTTAGGTCTGAGGAACCTGATAGGCCAGAAGTTCTTTGAGACAATTTCGTTTGAAGAACTGCGTAAAGAAATTATTGAGCCAAGGGTATTACCTTTTTCTTCTTAAAGATTTTCTCATGTCTGCCTTGTGTATGTTTTTTATGATGTCTTATGGTACTTCATTTCTGTTTTAAAATCTACTTGTCAAGTTCTCCTGGGTGCGAGTTTGATTTACCACATAAACCAGACAATATAATGAATAGTAAATCTTTCGTATTGGAATGTGTAGTCATCTTTGTTGCACATAAACAATTGTGATGTGCTTAACTGTAGCCACATTACTGATGTAGGAGACTTGGTCCTTTTGCTAATGCTTCCTTCTGTAATCTAAACCAGTTGTGTTTGTGATTGGTAGTGTATGCAAACCCTTTATTCTGTGTTGGTTTGATAGTATTTGCCGATTCTGATAATTGAACAGGAATTCACAGGCGTACAATTTGCTTTTGGTAAACTTTATGCTCAATGAGGAAGAAGGTAACAAAATTCCTTATTTTCTGTATTTCTTTCTTAATGGAGAGCATTTGCTGAGAAGAAATAGAAAGACGGTCAGTGCTGAAAAAATTAGGGTGACATTGTGATGCCCGAAACTCCATTTTAGGTTAGTGATTCATCTTAATGGTGATGGTGAAATAGAAGATCCCAAAACCGCCTTCAAGACGCGTAACAATGATCTTTTGAACACATTTTTTTTGGTTTAGGTTTGTTATCTTATTCTTTATCCTTAAAATTGATGCATTTTAGTTTCTAACATGATTCTGTGCCTCCATGTTTAGAGAAACTATACCTGACTGATTTCGAGTATGGATCATCTGTTTAATAGCAATCTAATTTTATATCTAGATGGTTTACAATTGAATTTCTTTACGAATAGAGTAGTTGGGTAATACTTGCTTTATAGGCTTCAATATATTTTTATAGGATTACTCATCTACTTGGGTTTTCTCTTTTTAGACCTTGATATTGTCCTCAACAAGAGAAGCTGGCTTCACAAACCAAGAAGACATTCCAAGCTATAGGATTACAAGCCGATATGCAGACATCTGGAAGCTAGAGCATGAGGACCATGCTGTGTCTTCGAAACCTGGTCGTGTCTGTGACATGATAAAAGGAGAAATCTACGTACCCGAGCTAATAAAGTACTGAATCTTGATGAATCATATGAAATGCTGAGCAGAAGGTTCAAGGACCAATTCTATGATGTTTACAGATATCTTCCGCCTGATCTTTCAGGTCGGATTTCACTCCTCAGATACTAATATGTTCCTAACTCCTAGTTTTGTGTCAGATGCTACACTGTTCTTGCATTTGCTTTCATATTTGATTGATTGGCTGCTTAGACTCTGTGGGGATGGTAGAACTCTAATTTGTTAACAGACCTTTTAGCCCACTGTTGAGTTGCTTGAATGTGTTATGTGAATTTTGGTAGCTAGTAGCTCTAGTATGACGAGGTAATGCAGGTTTCATGCTTTTCTCCGTAGGGGTCATCTCACTCTTCACCGGTCACGTTGCCTGCATCTCGATTGGCATTCTCAGCAACTGAGCAAACGGAGCTTACTGGTACCTCTCTAATTGCAGCTTCAGCTAAAACAGTGTAGCATTTCTTACTTACTCTGAGAAAGTCACTGTTATTCTGCTCAATTTTGTATGATTTAAGGTTGAAGATAGTTTATTTCTCTTCATATTTTTTTTAATTAATTTGAATCATGAAATTGGATATTCTCAGGATACATGCCGTCGGGTACTAATTGATATACGGAAGTCAAAATATTCGAAGTTCTTCTATGAATGCAGTGAAAGAGGAAGGAACTTCCCACGTAAGTGACATATCTCTTTACTTTTGGTCTTGCCTCATTACCAGAATGTGAAACTATGTTCCTTTCCAAATTGATCTTGGATTCTAGCAGGAAAAGTCTGCGACTCTATTGATCTAACAGCCAATTTAGCTCTGCCTTTAGCTTGGTCATAAGCCTTTTAGTCTGATTTAAAGCAAATTTGCTTCCTAGAAATACTAATTTGGGAATCTGTTGATGTACAACTAAAATTCGCTTCAATATTTTTGTGTTTTTGTATCATTGACACTTTGTTGTGTCGATAAGTTTTCCTCTCACATGTTCTTCATCTTGTTCTCCAGGAGCACACATATCTAATGGGTATTTGCTGATTGCAGCTGGCGGAGGTCTGAACCAGCAAATAACAGGAGTAAGTGATATTATATTTCTCAAGAATAATGTATTAGGATATGCCCAATAGAGTATTCATGGTTATATTGCTCTTGTCTTTTCAAAGTTACGATACCTGCATATATATCTTCATATATATATATATATTTGGTCTAAATATATCTTCATATATAATATTTCTAAACAATACTTTAGGTCTGCTTGGTTTCTGCAACTCTTCCTCACGAAATTTTGTTGCTGTTGAGGAATGGAATTTTGATACACTCAAACAATTGTCTTCTGCTATACAAAACCAAAGGTAATTCTGGAGCTCATCTTAATTTACGAAAACCGCTTATCTGCTTTTTTATATTTGTTTTAGGTGATCTTGTAACCCATTTTGTTAACATTCAGCTTCCAGCACTGCTCTATATTTGGGATCTGTCTGTGAGCTAGTATTTTTTTATTCCAGAAATTGACTTTTATGCTGAATGGGGCTTTTGAAATCAAGGTACGTTTTACCGTATTTTCCGTTTTTATTTATTTATTTTATGTTTAATTTCTTTCCCGTCTTCTTTTTCCTACCAACCCAAAGAGATTTTAGGCAGAAACTCACAGTGTTCTGTCAGATTCTTTTTGGGAATATTGTCCCTTCGATTGGACCCGGAAGAAAATAAAACCAGCACCCTAGCAAAATTATGCATCAGACCACATTATTGAGTTGGTAGTACCCACGGCTTGACTAGAAAAAGTCTTCTAAGACTTCCGTTCGGTTTTCCAGCAATGGTATCCACGGCTTGATAAAAAAAAAAAATCTAATGACAATAATTTTACAGTACCCACGGCTTGACCGAAAAAAATATCTTCAGATAAAAGACTTTTGACTGGATTTTCCGACAATAAAACCCACGGTTTGATTAAAAAAAAATTTATGACATCAGAATATCACTTTACCCACGGCTTGACCAAAACAATCTTCTGAAAAAAGACATTCGACCGGATTTTCCGAGAGCAGTACCCACAGCTTAACTAAAAAACGTCTTTTAAGACTTTCAATCGGTTTTCCAGCAATGGTACCTACGGCTTGATAAAAAAAAAAGTCTAATGACAAAAGAATTTTATAGTCTAATAAATATCTTCAGACAAAAGACTTTCGACTGGATTTTCCGACAATAGTACCCACGATTTGATCAAAAAAAAATTTTATGACATAAGAATATCATTCTACCCACGGCTTGACCAAAACAATCTTTTGACAAAAGACATTCGACCGGATTTTCCGAGAGCAGTACCCACGGCTTTATTAAAAAAAGTCTTCTAAGACTTTTGATCGGTTTTCCAGCAATGGTACCCACAGCTTGATAAAAAAAAAGTCTAATGACAAAAGAATTTTATAGTACCCACGGCTTGACCGAAATAAATATCTTGAGACAAAAGATTTTCAACAGGGTTTTCCGACAATAGTATCCACGGTTTGATCGAAAAATATAATGACATAAGAATATCACTTTACCCACGGCTTGATCAAAATAATCTTCGGACAAAAGACTTTCGACTGGGTTTTTCGGGAGTAGTACCCACGGCTTGACTAGAAAAAGTCATCTAAGACTTTCGATCGGTTATCCAGCAATGGTACCCACGACTTGGTAAAAAAAAAAGTCTAATGAGAAAAGATTTTTAAAGTACCCACGGCTTGAACGAAATAAATATCTTCAGACAAAAGACTTTCAACCGAGTTTTCCGACAATAGTACCCACGGTTTGATCGAAAAAATATAATGACATAAGAATATCACTTTACTCACGGCTTGACCAAAATAATTTTGACAATAGACATTCGATCGGGTCTTTCCGGGAGTAGTACCCACGGCTTGACTAGAAAAAAGTCATCTAAGACTTTCGATCGGTTTTCCAGCGATGGTACCCACGACTTGGTAAAAATAAAAAGTCTAATGACAAAAGAATTTTATAATACCCACGACTTAACCAAAATAAATATCTTCAGACAGAAGACTTTCGATCGGGTTTTCCGACAATAGTACCCACAGTTTGATCGAAAAAAATCTAATGACATAAGAATATCACTTTACCCACGGCTAGAGAAAAACAATCTTCTGACAAAAGACATTCGACCGGGTTTTCCGGAAGTAGTACCCACGGCTTGACTAGAAAAATTCTTGTAAGACTTTCGATCGGTTTTCTAGCAAAAGTACCCACGGCTTGATAAAAAAAAGTCTAATGACAAAATAATTTTATAGTACCCATGACTTGACCAAAATAAATATCTTCATACAAAAGACTTTCGACCGGGTTTTCCGACAATAGTACTCACTGTTTGATCGAAAAAAATCTAATAACATAAGAATATCACTTTACCCACGGCTTGACCAATAATATCTTCTGGGAGTAGTACCCACGGCTTGACTAGAAAAAGTCTTCTAAGACTTTCTAGTAGTTTTCCAGCAATGGTACCCACGACTTGATAAAAAAAAAGTCTAATGACAAAAGAATTTTATAGTACCCATGGCTTGACCGAAATAAATATATTCATACAAAAGACTTTCGACCGGGTTTTCCGACAGTAGTACCCACGGTTTGATCGAAAAAAATATAATGACATAAGAATCACTTTACCCACGGCTAGACCAGAGATATCTTATGTCAAAAGGCAGTCGACCGGGTTTTCTGGGAGTAGTACCCACGGCTTGACTAGAAAAAGTCTCGTAAGACTTTCAATTAGTTTTCCAGCAATGGTACCCACAACTTGATAAAAAAAGTCTAATGAGAAAAGATTTTATAGTACCCACAACTTGAACGAAATAAATATCTTCAGACAAAAGACTTTTGACCGGATTTTACGACAATAGTACTCATGTTCGATCGAAAAAAATCTAATGACATAAGAATATCACTTTACCTACGGCTTGACCAAAACAATCTTCTGACAAAAGACTTTCGACCGGATTTTTCTAGAGTATACCCACGGCTTAACTAGAAAAAGTCTTTTAAGACTTTTGATCGATTTTCCAGCAATGGTACCCACGACTTGATAAAAAAAAAGTCTAATGACAAAACAATTTAGTACCCAGGCCTGACCGAAATAAATATCTAAGACAAAGACTTCAACCGAGTTTCTGACAATAGTACCAATGGTTTGATCGAAAAACTATAATGACATAAGAATATCACTTTACCCACAGCTTGACCAAAATAATATTCTGACAAAAGACATTTGACCGGGTTTTCCGGGAGTAGTACTTACGGCTTGACTAGAAAAAGTCTTCTAAGACTTTCGATCGGTTTTCCAGCAATGGTATCCTAGCTTAGTAAAAATAAAAAGTTTAATGACAAAAGAATTTTATAGTACCAACGGCTTAACCAAAATAAATATCTTCAGACAGAAGACCTTCGATCGGTTTTTCTGACAATAGTACCCATAGGTTGATCGAAAAAATCTAATGACATAAGAATATCACTTTACCCACGGCTTGAGAAAAACAATCTTCTGACAAAAGACATTCGACCGAGTTTTCCGGAAGTAGTACCCACGACTTGACTAGAAAAATTGTTCTAAGACTTTCAATCGGTTTTCCAGCAAAAGTATCCACGTCTTGATAAAAAAAAAGTCTAATGACAAAAGAATTTTATAGTGTGCATGGCTTGACCGAAATAAATATTTTCATACAAAAGACTTTCGACCGGGTTTTCCGAAAATAGTACCCACAATTTGATCGAAAAAAATCTAATGACATAAGAATATCACTTTACCCATGGCTTGACCGGAGATATCTTCTGAAAAAAAACATTCGACCGGGTTTTCTGGGAGTAGTACCCACGGCGTGACTAGAAAAATTCTTCTAAGATTTTTGATCGGTTTTTCAGCAATGGTACCCACGACTTTATAAAAAAAAAGTCTAATGAAAAAAGATTTTTATAGTACCCACGGTTTGACCGAAATAAGTATCTTCATACAAAAGACTTTCAACCGAGTTTTTCGACCATAGTACCCACGGTATGATAAAAAAAACATAATGACATAAGAATATCACTTTATCCACGGCTTGACCAAAATAATCTTCTAACAAAAGACGTTCGACCGGGTCTTTCCGGGAGTAGTACCCACGGCTTGACTTGAAAAAAGTCATCTAAGACTTTCGATCGGTTTTCCAGCAATGGTACGCACGCCTTGGTAAAAAAAAAAGTATAATGACAAAAGAATTTTATAGTACCCACGACTTGACCAAAAAAAATATCTTCATACAAAAGACTTTCGACCAGGTTTTCCGACAATAGTACCCACAGTTTGATCGAAAAAAATCTAATAACATAAGAATATCATTTTACCCACGGCTTGACCAGAAATATCTTCCGGGAGTAGTACCCACGGCTTGACTAGAAAAGTCTTCTAAGACTTTCTATCAGTTTTCCAACAATGGTACCCACGACATGATAAAAAAAAAAGTCTAATGAGAAAAAAATTTTATTGTACCCACGGCTTGACCGAAATAAATATCTTCAGACAAAAGACTTTCGACCGGGTTTTCCGACAATAATACTCATTTGATCGAAAAAAATCTAATGAAATAAGAATATCACTTTACCCACGGCTTGACCAAAACAATCTTCTGAGAAAAGACATTCGACCGGATTTTCCGAGAGCAATACCCACGGCTTAACTAGAAAAAGTCTTTCAAGACTTCCGATCGATTTTCTAGCAATGGTATCCACGACTTGATAAAAAAAAAAGTCTAATGACAAAAGAATTTTATAATACCCATGACTTGACCGAAATAAATATCTTCAGACAGAAGACCTTCGATCGGTTTTTTCGACAATAATATCCACGGTTTGATCGAAAAAAAATCTAAGAACATAAGAATATCACTTTACCCACGGTTTGAGAAAAACAATTTCTGACAAAAGACATTCGACAAGGTTTTCCGGAAGTAGTACCCACGGCTTGACTAGAAAAATTCTTCTAAGACTTTCGATCGATTTTCCAGCAAAAGTATCCACGTTTTGATAAAAAAAAAGTCTAATGACAAAAGAATTTTATAGTGCGCATGACTTGACCGAAATAAATATTTTCATACAAAAGACTTTCGACCGGGTTTTCCGAAAATAGTACCCACAATTTGATCGAAAAAAATCTAATGACATAAGAATATCACTTTACCCATGGCTTGACCGGAGATATCTTCTGAAAAAAAACATTCGACCGGGTTTTCTGGGAGTAGTACCCACGGCGTGACTAGAAAAATTCTTCTAAGATTTTTGATCGGTTTTTCAGCAATGGTACCCACGACTTTATAAAAAAAAAGTCTAATGAAAAAAGATTTTTATAGTACCCACGGTTTGACCGAAATAAGTATCTTCATACAAAAGACTTTTAACCGAGTTTTTCGACCATAGTACCCACGGTATGATAAAAAAAACATAATGACATAAGAATATCACTTTATCCACGGCTTGACCAAAATAATCTTCTGACAAAAGACATTTGACTGGGTTTTCCGGGGGTAGTACCCACGGCTTGACTAGAGAAAATCATCTAAAACTTTCGATCGGTTTTCCAGCAATGGTATCCTAGCTTGGTAAAAATAAAAAGTCTAATGACAAAATAATTTTATAGTACCCACGGCTTAACCAAAATAAATATCTCCAGCAAAAGTACCCACGGTTTGATAAAAAAGAAGTTTAATAACAAAAGAATTTTATAGTACCCACGGCTTAACCAAAATAAATATCTCCAGCAAAAGTACCCACGACTTGATAAAAAAAAAATTTAATAACAAAAGAATTTTATAGTACCCACGGCTTGACCGAAATAAATATATATATACAAAAGACTTTCGATCGGGTTTTCCGAAAGTATTACCCACGGTTTGATCAAAAAAAATCTAATGACATAAGAATATTACTTTACCCATGGTTTGACCGGAGATATCTTCTGACAATAGACATTCGACCGGGTTTTCTGGGAGTAATACCCACGGTTTGACTAGAAAAAGTCTTCTAAGACTTTCGATCGGTTTCCAGCAATGGTACCCACGACTTGATGAAAAAAAAGTCTAATGAGAAAAGATTTTTAAAGTACCCACGGCTTGAACGAAATAAATATCTTCAGACAAAAGACTTTCAACCGAGTTTTCCGACAATAGTACCCACGGTTTGATCAAAAAAATATAATGACATAAGAATATCACTTTACTCACGGCTTGACCAAAATCAACTATAAGGTAAAAAG